AGGTGAGGCATCTGACTCAGTCTGTTAAACCCAAAGGATGATTTTTTTCCATTGATTTCAACAGCTCTGCATCTGGTCTGAGGCAGCTGCCTGGAACTATAAAGCTATTCTATATTAAGGTGAAGATTTTGTTTCCTGGACATCGCTTCTGCCTGTTAGCAGAGGCACTAGCCTTTGGCACAAAATAATACAAGATAAAACATAACAAAAACACCTGTGTGAACTTACTGGCTTTTGTGTTGAGTCCGGTGTACAATGTCTGTGAAGATGTATTTTTCTGTCAAATAAGGTCTGCTGCCAGTGGGGAAAATGGGAAATAACCCATATTTGCACACACCTGAATTGTTTTAAAATTCAGACCCTGACACTAATGGCTGTGATACAGAAAAAGAAGGTATTGCTATTGTGTACATCAGCAGAACTGAATCTGCTTAGCTTTTCCCCACTGAAACCTGGCAGCTAGAATGAATAGCTCTTCTGTTTAGAAAACGCCTGATGCAAAATGCAGTCAATTCACACACCAGCAACAGGCATGCTTTCAACTCTCTAGTGAAATTCTTACCTACGTATATCTAAGAGCTACCACATTAGATAGGTACATTAACCATTTACTGAGGTGCAGGCATGCATACCATCAATAGGCACAAGCTGGCGGAACCAGTGCCTGTTCTGACAACTGGGAGACTGCCGGAGCATGGGAGGAGAAAGGCTCTGGAGCAGCTCTTTGGCTGGAAGCCAGAAGTCTGACTTTCAAGTGTCTGTGAGGAGCGTTGTCTCTCTGTTCCTCCAATCCATCTGTAGGCAATAACTGTTTGCTAACAAGCTTAATGTCTGTAACTGGACTTGTACATGTTTTTAGGGTTGTGCTTGTTACTGCCATAATGGAACCTTTCCCAATATCATGTGCACTCAAATGAAGTGTTAGCATCTTCAAGGAGTTTACACAATGGAAAATGTCACCTATGCTGGCAGGAAACATAGCTGGCTAGGTACATTTTACAAGGTTTGAACATCATTTATTTTCCCTTCTAAATGACATACATAGGCATCTGTCCACAGCCTTCCAGATATATTCAGTGCCCTTCATGGTCCTGAAAGAATCAAAGTATTCAATATCAGCAATTACTGGGCCTTGAAGTTGTGACTTTGTTTTCCCCTGTTATATGTATTAAAAGGAAAAAGCGAATGGAACCAAAGTAGAAAGAGAATGTGGATCCTATTCTCAACAGGAGAATAACAAAGAGGACAATCCAGGCTCTGGCCTTGAAGTGTGCAATACTGTGTGCAAAAGCTAAAGAGAAAGAATAACACAAGGAGTGCCTGGGCCTCACCCAGAGCCCAGCGAAGTAAGTAGAAACTCTGGCTGCAATGACAAATACATCAAGTCTTCCCTCTGCAATAGCATAAAACTTATAAAGGGAAAAGGGCAATGAGTGTTGGGATCTCTCTGCTAATCCCTTCTGCCCCACAGGAGGTTTCCGTCTCTCCTACTTGCTGGCAACCTGAGCTAAATAAGCTTGCATCAGTAGGAAGGACACCATAGCCCAGCTTGCACTGAAATTGTTTTTCAGTAGCTGTATGGACTTCTTTTCCAACTGAATAGCATCTGGATGCTAGATTCTGCAGAGATCTATATCACGTCTCTGCAAATATACTTGCTGAAAATAGTAAACTTTCATGTACTTTGGTATTTTCTGCCTTAAATAATATGGGAAAAATACAACATTTTTTCCATCCGATTGCATTTTAGATAAATACTAAAATCCAAGAATACTTGGAATAATGAGTAATAGTCAGCAATCAGGGGGAAGAAGATAAATGTTATAAAACACTGTCTGGCATGTATTAAACCAGTACTGGACTGTCAAATCCAGAATCTTAAATGGCAAATTTGTTTAGTTTCTATCCTTAAAGGAAAACACTGTCTTGAAAACCTTGGAGTTCTCTTTAACTATTTCCAAGTCAATATCAAAGTTACATGTCCTTGTCTGTGTGAAGTGGAAGCTTAGTGATTTCTTAACTCCCTGCTTCTCCAGTGGTTTGGGTGTTAGATTCACGCATTCATCACACGTAACCAGCTGACATTCACAAGCTGGCCCTCAACTGCAGTAAGCCTGGGAGCTAGACTCACAGCTGGGTTCTCTCATTTTCCCTGAAGCTGGATGGAACTGACAAATCAACAGCAGGAAATTTACATTTAGTACTAGTGATGAATGTTACTATTTGGAATTCAACTATTTCCAAATCTATGGATGCTTACTGAGGCAGCAGCTACACAAACACATACGCAAAGGCAGGGTTCTCCAAAGTCTGCAGTTTTGACTTGTTTATACAAACAAAAGCAATCCAAGGACTTCAGATGCAAGCGTTCTTTACTTATTTGGTGCGTTTCGATGCCTTCCAGGAGTGGATTAGCAGTGCTGTGGAAAAAAGCTGTATAGCTACAATGGGTCACATTACTCAGCAAGCACACCCCATGCACGGTCACTGCAGCCAGAGCAAATCTGTGCTGCCTGTTTCACCCTACCCTTGCTTTGTAACTTTGGGGATAGAGCAGATATCTTCTGACAGTTTGGCACAGGAACTCTCTTGAAGAGCAGTTTTGGTATGGTAGAAGGAACGGCTGCTTACTTTCTTCACTGTCTCCTGGGATAATTCCTTGTTGTGTGCCAGGCTGGTGGGCATTCCTTTTTGGTTTTTCTCCTTTCTTTTTCGACTAACTTCTGGCCACACATCTGCTTTACCAACATACAAAGTCTGTTATCTTCCTGCTCTGAATGAGTTAACTGGAGCCAGTCGAGCCTCTTGTGAAAAAGAGAGTTGGTGGGACAAGAGTCTGTTTTCCCTGAGCTCTTGCCACGAGACAAATGAAAGGCAGAATTGAGATCTCTACAAGTATTTGCAGCAATTCATGAAATGTGCAACAGAGGTGAGATGCTTTCACATGAGCACTGCAGGCACCTGAGAGGAAAACTTTGCACCTCAGAGGTATTCAAAAGCATTCCAAAGGTAGCTTAACCAGGAGAATTCTGGCTGGGAAATACAAAAGCCAGGAAAGAGGGACCAGAGTCTACAGACATGTTAAAAGAGGGCTAGGCAGATTAGGGAGATGATAGATAAGTGACATACAGTGTCATGTGACATCAAGTGACATGATAGATAAGTAAGGCATACAAAACCTAGTGCAAGCTTCTGGCACAATACCAGCCTGGATATGCAGCAGGACAACAGTGGTGTTTGCCAAAAAAAATTGTCAGAGGGAGAGAAGGTTCTTGAGTGGTCTTTGAGGGGAAGGAAAAAAAAAATAATACAGGATTAAGAACAAAAATGACATGATGGAGGGGGCTGGTGGAAAAGGAAAGCTACCAAGGATAGAAGGACAGATTTATTTTGGCAGACAAGGAAAGATATTGCTAAATTGCAAGACAGTCCTCCTGTCTAGGACTATGCACACAATTCTACTGCTGCTCACACCTCAGACACAAGGATAAACACATTCCTCTGCTGTAGAAGGTCTTCAAAAGATTTGTCTCAGTTGTTCAATTCAAATTCTAGGATGTAATTTGTCTCTTACAACAAGCCTCTCTCTGGTCTATACACATGGTGTGGGTACTTGTTCACTAACACGAGACTAAGATTGCCTGAACATGAAAAATCATTGCATGTCATTGAGTTCAATATAGATATAGTAATTATTTTCACCTAATAATTAAAGAAAACAAGTGGAAAGCAAAGGCAATTATTTTTGTTGCACTCACTGGAAACACTACTGTGAATTGACATTACAAAACCACAGGAAAGAGCAAGTTAAAAGAACACATTTGGTGGAGTTTTGGTGTAATGGTGGAGTTTTAATTCAGACCACACAATTTAATTATGCATTACATTAGATCAAAGGGAAACTGAATTTAAAAAAATAATAATAACTGCTGGATTGCAGAGAGTGGAGTTCCTCTTCTTAAAAGCGCTGGAAAGACTGAAGCTGTATCAATCAGAACAGAAAAACCAAAGCGCAAGGATAAATGGAAGGTTAAGTGCACAGGGCTGGGCCCTCACCACTTTTTAAAAGAAAACTATTATAGACCGGATGGCTTTGTGTTGATGGATCTATTGAAAGGGAAAAACACCGATCTACATCCACACAGAGACTTTCTGCCTATACATTTACCCTGATGCATGCAACCGTCTTGTATTTTGCCATACTGAAACACTGACACTATTTCTCTGCACTTTGATTTCTCTAACGGAAAGAAGCACAGTCCCAAACCGTCCCATGCCTACTAATTTATTGTTAAACTTTCCCTTAGCCCGGGAAAAGACGCTAATCCAATACAGCTTCATGTTTCTGTCCAACAGGAGAACGGAACAAAAGCACAAGAAGCGAATCTACAGAAAAATTAAATTGCTTCCCGGTGTAACTGCATCCCAGAGCTACGTTTAGCCCATGCCTTTTGCTGCACTGAACACAGGAACGCCCAATGCCGTGCACGTCCGCTCCTAGCGGAGCAGAGCTCATTGCTCGTCGGAGACGTTTCTTTCCGAGGGGGTTTCTCAGTGCAGGGCTCACGGTAGGACGGCAGTGCGTGTGAGTGAAGTCCGCCCCGGGGCGGCGCTCCCCACCCCACGCTTCTCCTCAGCGCACCGCGGGCGAAGGACGGCTGAGGCCGCCGCCAATCCCTCAGCGCGGAGCCCGCCCTAAAGCCGCGGTTGGATTAGCTCCGTCCCTCACCCCCGGGGCGCGCAGTATGCCCTGCCCTGCCCCGCCCGGCCGCGGGGCTCAGCTCCGACTTAGCACGGCGATCCCGCTCGCCGTCCCCGCATCCCCTCAGCGCAGCCCGCCCCACCTGGCCGCGAGGCGCCGCCCGTGACGTCATGGAAACACCCTCACCCTCAACGGCCGGGCGGTAATAACGCCCCTCGCGGGCAGGAGGAGGAAGGCGAATGCGATCTTCCCGTTGGCCGAGGCGGCTGTCAATCCAGAGCGGCGGTCCCGCCCCCGGCCCCGCTCGGGTTCGGCTCCCTGGAGCCGAGCCGGCGTGCTGAGGTGCGGTGGCGCTTTCCGCGCTCCTGCTCTTCCCGGCGCAGTTAGGGTCGTGCTTTGCGCTCGTGGTCGCTGCTCCCGCCGACTCCTTCTGTCCTCTTTCTTCCCTGGGGCCGGTAGGTGCGGGGCTCAGGTAGGCTCCGGGGCAGGGCGGGAGGCGCGGGCGGGCGGGCGGACTTGGCGGCGGGGCTGCGTGGGCTGAGGAGTCGGGCACCGTCCGAAGGGCAGCGGGAGCCGTGCACCGTGGATAACCTCGCGGTCCTCCGATGTCTCCGGCTGTGCTTCTCTGGGCGGCGTGCCGCTTAAACAAAAATCTGTTCCCCGCTCCGGAGGGTTCTCGCTCTGTGTTTCGCTCCCGGCGCGCTCCGTGCGCGTTAGCTGTGAGCTGGGGCTGACTCCGGATGAGGCGCCGAAGCGAGCGCGGTTCCCAGCACGCGGCCCCGCGCCCGTCCCGCTGCCGCCGCGCTCCGCCGGGAGCTGCCGCCGGGGTCCGCCCGTGTTGGCGGCTCTGCCGCGCTGTGTGCGCTGCTCGGCACGAGGAAGAAGGGCTGTCGCTGTTATTTATTTATTTATTTATTTTCTTTCCTGCCCGCGTCTCAAGAAAATAGGTTAATTAAATCCAGGCGCTTCAGGATGGCGCTGAGTTGATGAAATGTCCGTTTGAGGGCGAATTAAGCTGTTTGAGCTTTAAATACTCCGTTACTTGAAGCCGTTTGGAATTATTCCCCAGCACTTGCTGGTTTGTTTTTACTAGGAGATGTGGAATGGCTGGAGAGAGGGCACTTAACGAGTGCACTCCTTCCTCGTGGGATGATTTGTGTGCCCCGTGATTTTCCTGAGCTCTAATGCTTGTAACAAACCCAAGAAGGGACACAGGTTGTTGTGGCTTCTTCCCTTGGCTCTCATTGAGAACTCTCACAGAGTTCCAGATGCCTCGTTCTCCTTTTCTAAGTCTGGTTCATGTGCTTAAAGCATTGGTATTTTGCATGAAGGCATAGGTAACCGCAGCTCCAATTTCCATGAGCTTCACTTTATTATTACAATAATTATTATTTTTATTCCTAGCAGTGACTAACCAGCAGAGTTCCCAATCCCACATCACCTTTCTCCTTGCTCTGATGTCCAGCCACACAGCCACACTCTGCGTTAAACTCCAACTGTCCTGTTTGCTTTGCACAGGACCCAGGTCTGGAAGCTGGGAGGGGAACTGTAGGGAAGGGAAATGCTCTCTGTGCAGGTGTAGGTACACGCTGTGCTCTGAGGTGCTACTGAGCAGCTGTGGTCAGGCTGACACTACTGCATGGTCACTGAGGGCAGGAAGTGATGCTGAGCTGTAATGGGGTTAGCTTGTCGCAACAGTGTGCGTGCAGCCAGCTCACTTACTTTTGAAAGCGTGTATATCATCTTAAAGAATTGGGTCTAATTAGAGCACCTATGCATGTATATCTAATAGTCTTTCCTTTGCTTATTGCATACTATAAGTTTTGTTGCATGCTCTCTAGGGTGAAATGTGCCGTTGTTGTGATAGTCTTGGATCTTACAGTTTGTATTTAGAAAAATGAATTTTCAGTTACAAACAGTACTCTAAGTAATTCATATAGGAACGCTATTTCCAACAGGAAGGTTTCCCTCCTTTTGCAGCTGATGCACTTTAGGATTAACTTTGATTTGCTTCTCAGCTCTTTGAGATGTGGGGTTTTAATGCCTATCCTCTGCCACTGAATTTACAAAGTGGGGACAGGCATTGCTTTTAGTTGCATGCAGCTGCCACATGTGGTACCAGTATGTGAATCTTCCTATACTGTGCCTGGAATTATTGCATTATTGCTCTAGTTCCTTGTCTGTCTGAAGGATGAGGAGCTGTTGTGTATGTAATGTTGTGGGTACTTGTCTGTATTCTGCTGACATAGAAATTAACACTGACAGATATATTTTAATTGCCTTAGAATAATTTGTGCTGCCTGCCATCAGGGTTAAGAGACGTGGGTGCTGATGGTAATCTGACAACGTAAGTAAGACAGAAAACAAAACAGTCAAGAAACACACTGCTGGGGGTCTGACAGAACCAGTGTCCATAACTCATTCTACTGTCTGTCTGCTTTATCTTGCTCTTTCTGCAGAGTCCTCTTCCTGCTGCTTGTGGCTTTCGTGTAGCGCTTATCATGTGTGCAGAAACACCAGATTGTTACAGATGAAGTAATGACAGGAATTAATGCAGTATTTTTAGTGCTAGTTTTGGAGCTCTCAGTGTGAAGCCCACGGCGTATTGTTTCACATGAATTGAGACAAAACAAAAGTTAAGGGCAGCCTCAGAACGAAGGAATAAAGAACTCTCACCAATTCTTTCTCACTTGAAGTGTCTGAACTGCGATGACTGCTAACAAAGAGCCAACCACTTGGATAACTTTTGTATCATTACAGATGTAATGGCAGTTGTGGCATACATGTTCTCAGTAAAAGCACAGTGCTGGCTGAGGTCGGGCAGTGCAGTGCAGCGCAGCTCAGCCCACACGGCCCTGCCTGCCTGGTGCGCAGAGCTCTGCTGACTCAATGCAAGCTCCTTAGGGTACAAGTCACGTGTTCATATCTAGCAGTGAGCGTAACAGTGCTTAATCCTATTTCAGTGTCTGGGTGTTCCATGGTGCTAACCACAGAAGTAAAAACAAATAGACTTCTGACGTGGAAGGCGCTGAGCAATTTTTGCGATGCATGCTTGCTGAGAATTCTCTGTCTTTGGCTGAAGGCTGTCCTACATGTGGTTCTTGAGGTGGTTTTTTTTTTTTTTTTCCTGAGGAAGATAAATACCAATAAGTGTGGTTTGATAGGAATCCTTGTGTGCAGCAGAAGAGAGGAAATGATTGAGAACTGATTTTTGCTGACCTCTGGGCCTTGAGTTGAGCCAATGCATTCAATACACTAGGAGCATTCAGAATGGCTATGAGCTCAGAGGGATCTCTGCGTGTACTAATTGTGTGTCTGACTGCAAGAAAGCCTGATACAGTGGCTGCCTAATAGTATCTTAGTAAGTCACGGGAGGAAGGCAGCATATGTGCTTCTTCACATGCCTCTGGCATTGTTCTGCAGTTTTATTATGGCTTAAATTGAATTTGAACAGTTCGTCCTTTGCAGTCACTATATAGAACGTTAGCCAAGCTCTGTGTCCCTTGTCTGACCAAGAGGTGTGCGTGGATTTTTTGGCTTGAGATTTCTCCTTTCCAAGTCCAGTTGTTAAGATATGAGTACCTGACCTGAAAATTTACTCCTTCATCTTTCAGTTGTGGGGGTTTTGTTGGTTGAATCGTGTTTAGGTTGGTGAATACAAATGTTGCCATTTCAATGATTTCTTTTGTTCTGAATGTTTTATTTGGTACTTGTGTTAATATATGCACAAACAAATTACCTTTCTTCTTTCTTCTAATGCAGTGTGTGAATTGGTAATCTTTTGATTTATCTCTTCACAATACCAGCATTTTAGTGATAACCACATGCAGGCAGAGTCTGAAGGTAAACTGAACCCCTCCGCCCTCCCCCCCAAAAAATCAGCAAAAATGTTAGTATGTTGCACTATGAACATCAAGCAGTGCTTGTATTTAACTGTGGCTCCTAGGAGAAAAGCAATAATAATCCAAAATAATGAAGCTGGGAAACTAATAATCCTTGTTTGCACCCATATTAATTTTAGATCTATTCTTTGTTTATGGTGATGTGATGTGTTGCACTTTATTGTTGCCCTTTATTGCTGAATTTCTTTAGTGACTTTGCTGCCAGTAGAAGAATGTGAAGCATTGGGCTTTCTGTCCAGGCTGTGTATCTTCTCATTAACGGTTTTAGAATTGAAGTCTGAAGCGGTTCCCTGGCTGAAGGCAGTCTTACTCTTTCCTCATCTTAATTTGTGCCATTTCTGTTATCACTACTTAGGGTAGTACCTCTATGAGTCTTTTCACCAGGTGTCATCTCTTACCTGTTTTTATACAGAGGGTGATGATGCACTGGAACAGGTTGCCCAAGGAAGCTGTGGATGCCCCATCCCTGGAGGCATTCAAGGCCAGGCTGGATGTGGGCAACCTGGTCTGGTGGTTGGCAACCCTGCACATAGCAGGGGGTTGAAACTAGATGAGCATTATGGTCCTTTTCAACCCAGGCCATTCTGTGTTTTACGATCTATGGTCGTCATCACTCATTCACTTTGAGGTCACCGTTCTCTGACACTGTCATTTTTATGCCACTTTTTTCCCCCACGTTCTGAAGGTTTTTCCTATGCAATGTGTATGCGCTGTTGTTCTGTTTGTTGTCTGTTCCATTTTTCATATATTGTTGGTGAAACTGAATGAATCTTCCAGTCTTAACAGTTCCAATAAAGAACAACTGTGTGGGTTTACACAGTTGCCCTAAGCGTTTGCTTCTTTCTGCCTGGACAGTAGCTGAAACCACAGAAGCGACAAATTCAGACTGGCTTGTCAGTCCCCAGCAGAGTGGTGTGTGTGGGAGACTTTATCCTTCTCAGTGCTCAAGCCCGTCTGTGTCATTCTTAATTCTGCTTGTTACAGAAGGTTGTCTTGCCCTTCAAGTTTTTAAATGAGCAGAGAAGGATACTGGTACAATAATCTCTGGTACAATTTTGTTCAATCTTAATAACCATTTACTCATACTATTTTTTTTTTTGTTGTTGTTGAAATCATAGAATCCATGGAGTAGAACTGTGAAATCACCAAGGTTGGAAAAGACCTCCAACATCACCCAGTCCAACCATCCACCTATCACCAATATTTCCCACTAAATCATGTCCCTCAATACAACATCTGAATGATTCTTGGACACCTCCAAGTTCGGCGATTCCACCATCCTGTTCCTGGCAGCCTGTGCCAGCACCTGACCACTCTTTCTGAGAAGCTTTTCCTAACGTCCAACCTCAGTTTCCCCTGGTGCAACTTGAGACCATTCCCTCTTGTCCTATCAGTAGTTACACAGGAGAAGAGGCCAACCCCCACCTCACCTCACCACAGTCTCCCTTCAGGAGAGTGGTAAGGTCTCCCCTGAGCCTCTTACAGACTAAATAATCTTATCTCCCTTAGCTGCTCCTTGTAAGGCTTGTGCTCCAGATCCTTAACCGGCTTTGTTGCCCTTCTCTGGACA